ATATATATATACATATATATATATACATATATACGTATACATATATATATATATACATACATACACATATATAGTACTGAGACCTACCTGAACCGGTCTAATAGGTAAAGCATCACTGCCACCACGTGGACCGACAGACCGACTAACAGCCACAGTGTGCTCTGGAACGGCTGCATGAATGAGTCCAGAGTGCTGCGAGGGATTTCCTAAAGGAAACAGAAGTACACCAGTGGAACCAGTGAAACCAGTAAAACCAGTGAAACCGGTAAAACCAGTGAAACCGGTGGAACCACTGGAACCAGTAAAACCGGTGAAACCACTCGAACCAGTCCAGTCCCAGTCTGAGGACATCTGTACCGTACGTCCTGTTGGTTTACACTCCTCCCTCATAAATAAAGTTTGATTTGAGGTGATGAAGGAGATGTAAACATCACGTTGTATATTAAAAAGTGAGGATCCTCTGATTAAATAAAACGTGTATATATAATATATAGTACAGTATAATACAGGGGTATTCAATTAAATTTCCAAAAGGTCCAGATTGAGAAAATCTCCACGTGCAAAGGTCTGGAACATTACAATAATATCTAACTTGCGCTATTTAGTGCCTATATATATTCTTGTATATTCAAGAAGTCTAGTAGTAGTAACATCTCTGTGTAGTCAACAACTGTCAAATCAAATAAAGAAAGTACACATCAATTATAGTTTAACAATTATTATTCTCAGTTTCCACATTTAACTGGATGGATTATAAATAATACATAGAAATACATAAATGTTCTTCTCATTTCAAGTACAATAACGTCTGGATTAAAGAATAACTGACATAAAGAAAGCTTTTTAATGTGCATCTTAAAATAAAGTAATTCATTTTAGAAAAATCAATTTCACTGAATTGTCCTGCAGCTTTAAATTCAGTTCATTCAGGTGTGAAGTGATGTCAATAAAAAAAGCCACAATATTATATTTTTCTCATCTTCTAACAAGAGAAATCAGTGTGCATGATCTTTATCTGTGGTTATTAAACCACTTGTTTCAGCTCTATTCTCTCTGTTGACATCATTGTTGGTCAGTGAATTTGTCACAATTCTGACCATATTGGACTCTTAGGTTTATGTTCTGTCTTCATGTCAGACGTGAGTGGGTAACGTACCCACTCACGCTCCAAATGAGACGAAGACTTTAAGCTGTCCGTGGGAAGAATTGGCCTTTACATGTCGGTCCATTCTTGGTTACAGACTCTGGTCTCTCTGGCAATCTTTCTCATCTTGGGGAAAGTCCTGTGATTCAACTTTTACGGTACACAATATATTAGTCCTGCTCCGCGATGTGTTTCCTCGTGTCTCCCCGTGTGTCACGGTGTGTCTACATCCCACTGGAATCAGGAAAGGTGTCAGAATGCCCATATTTGATTGGCTGAGCTGCATCACGTGATGTGATTTACAACGCATTGGTCGGTGTGTTTCCTGCACCGCTGAACAAGTACCGTAACTGCTGGAAAAGATGTGGCGGTTAAAGTAGAATCGCTCCGTCAATATTTAATAATTGTCAATTATCGACCGATTTTAGCTCCTGGGTCCGGATACAACAGCGTCTGGTTCCGGATTCAGACCGTGGTCCGCCAATTGGCGACCCCTGGTATAATAGTGTCATGAAGTACTCATACTTGTACTAGAATCAAAGAGTTGTTTCTGTATCACAGCAGCAGGCCAATGGAAACTATTGACCGGCTGTGAACTGGGTCAGTCTGACCTCAAACATCCCAAAATATCCTTCAGAGTCCAGCAACATAGTGGTCTAGACCTGGAACCTGGTTCAGCTCAGAACCACAACTGGATTCTCAACTGACATTTTATTGAATAAAAACATGTTCCAGAACGTCCCAAACTGAGTGTGAAAAACAACAACATACACTAAAACACTGGACGCTACGCCAGCAGTAATATCCCACAATGCAATGCGGTAGTGACGACATCTCTGTAACCTCAATAACAAAGTTACTCACTTTCACTTTAAATATCAGTCCTGTAGTTTATGAACCAGCTTTATGACAGACAGACAGCTACTCATAGTATGATAATAGAGTAACACTTTATAACTAATAAAAGAAGAAGTAGCAGCAGATTAGACTCATTGTTGTCATAAAGTTCTGTTTGTTTAAAGTTACGTACTGTAGCTTTAAGAATCAGTGTTTTACGGTCTGACTCTTCTAACCAATGAGAGCAGAGATCAAGAGTCAGCTGACCTTCTTCACCAGGATGGTGAGGCCCTGGTACTTGAAGGGTTTGGAGAACTCGATGTACTGAGCGCGCTCGTTGTTGATGGTGAGAGGAGCAACGATCATGTCTGCCAGACCTCCCAACAGCTCCCCCATCATCCCGTTCCACTCCTTCTTATTACTGTTGTTCACCTGAGGAGGAGACACTCTGTTAGGAGGAGGAGGAGGAGGCGATGAAGGAGGTGATGACGGAGGAGATGAAGGAGGTGTTAGAGATGGTGAAGGAGGTGTTAGAGATGGTGAAGGAGGTGTTAAAGAGAGATGATGAAGGAGGTGAAGGAGGTGTTAGATATGATGAAGGAGGTGTTAAAGAGAGATGATGAAGGGGGTGAAGGAGGTGTTAGAGATGATGAAGGAGGTGTTAGAGATGGTGAAGGAGGTGTTAAAGAGAGATGATGAAGGAGGTGAAGGAGGTGTTAGAGATGATGAAGGAGGTGCTAGAGGAGGTGTTAGAGATGATGAAGGAGGTGCTAGAGGAGGTGTTAGAGATGGTGAAGGAGGTGCTAGAGGAGGTGTTAGATGAGGTGCTAGAGGAGGTTTTAGAGATGGTGAAGGAGGTGTTAGAGGAGGTGTTAGAGATGGTGAAGGAGGTGCTAGAGGAGGTGCTAGAGGAGGTGTTCATGTCTCTGAGCCTCCACAAGGTCACACTGAGGGACAGAGCTCTGGTCTCCATGGCAACAAGCCTCAGTGATGAGCTGGAGGAGAATCAGTAAACAGGTCACATGACTAGAGCTGGTAACATGACATCACTCACAGACAGAGACACACACACAAACACACACTCAGACACACACATACACTTACGCGCTCCTGCGTGCCAAATTTCCCATCAGCCACCAGGTGAACCTCGTAGGTGAAGTTCATGCTCATCGCTAGCTTGATGAGCAAGTCGACGCAGAAACCATAGCAACACTGAGGGACGATAGGCTGACCTGGATACACACACACACACAGGGTCAGTGGTGTGCACGTTTGTGTGCACGTATCAGTGTGATCTTCTATCCTTGTGAGGACCAACTAGAGTTTTAGACTAAAACTCTTTCCTGTCAGTCAAATACATGAATCGTGAATGAAATATTGGTGCAGCAGAAACATTAACTGTGTGTGTGTGTGTGTGTGTGTGTGTGTGTGTGTGTACCTGGTGTGGTCCCGTTGGGTCCGGTACAGATCACCTTCTTGATCAGGACTCCGTTGACGGTGAACTCTTCTTTACACGTCCCATCAGTCTTTGTCGGCTTCACGTAAACAAACGGCTCCTGATGGATCGTCACAATCTGAAGACATTTCATTTATTGATGAGAACAACAAAACGAGGACACAAATACTAAAGTAGAAGACAAGAACTACATCATGGACCAGAGACAAAGGTCTGCTGCATCAACGACAGCAGAGACAACACTGTTCTTTACAAGCTGTTGTGACCTGAGGCCTAAATACAGACTGACACATGACCAAACGAGCACTCTGAACCTTTAACAGTAACAGTAGTTTAAGTAGTGTCAGTATCAGTAGTTAAGGTAATATGACTAACAGTAGTTTAAGTAGTATGAGTAAAAGTAGTTTAAGTAGTATCAGTAACAGTAGTTTTAATAGTATGAGTAACAGAAGTTAAGGCAGTATGACAAACAGTAGTTTTAGTAGTATCAGTAACAATAGTTTTAATAGTATGAGTAACAGAAGTTAAGGCAGTATGAGTAACAGTAGTTTAAGTAGTATGAGTAACAGTAGTTTTAGTAGTATCAGTAACAGTAGTTTTAATAGTATGAGTAACAGAAGTTAAGATAGTATGAGTAACAGTAGTTTAAGTAGTATGAGTAACAGTAGTTTTAGTGGTATCAGTAAAAGTAGTTTAAGTAGTTTAAGTAGTATCAGCAGCAGTAGTTTTAATAGTATGAGTAACATAAGTTAAGGCATTATGATCAACAGTAGTTTTAGTAGTATGAGTAACAGTAGTTTTAGTAGTATCAGAAACAGTAGTTTTAATAGTATGAGTAACAGAACTTAAGGTAGTATGACTAACAGTAGTTTTAGTAGTATCAGAAACAGTAGTTTTAGTAGTATGAGTAACAGAAGTTAAGGCAGTATGACCAACAGTAGTTTTAGTAGTATGAGTAACAGTAGTTTTAGTAGTATCAGAAACAGTAGTTTTAGTAGTATGAGTAAAATAAGTTAAGATAGTATGAGTAACAGTAGTTTTAGAAGTATGAGTAACATAAGTTAATATAGTATCAGTAACAGTAGTTTAAGTAATATGAGTAACAGTAGTTTTAGTAGTATCAGAAACAGTAGTTTTAGTAGTATCAGTAACATAAGTTAAGATAGTATGAGTACCAGTAGTTTTAGTAGTATGAGTAACATAAGGTAAGGTAGTATGAGTAACAGTAGTTTAAGTAGTATGAGTAACAGAAGTTAAGGTAGTATGACCAACAGTAGTTTTAGTAGTATCAGAAACAGTAGTTTTAGTAGTATGAGTAACATAAGTTAAGATAGTATGAGTAACAGTAGTTTAAGTAGTATGAGTAACAGTAGTACTAGTAGTATCAGTAACAGTAGTACTAGTAGCATCGTGAACAGCAGTACTAGTAGTATCAGTAACAGTAGTACTAGTAGCATCGTGAACAACAGTACTAGTAGTGTCAGTAACAGTAGTACTAGTAGTACCTTCAGTTTAGTCGACATCTGGTATCCGACTGGTTTCTCTGTCTCCCCTCCAGGCCAGATGATCTTCCTCTGAGGGTTCATCACAACCTGAACACACACACACACACACACACACACACACACACACACACACACACA